GCATTAAAAACACGCTCACCTTCAACGAAATTTCCTTTCCGAGGCTTTGTGTCAGCCCAATCACATATTGTGTCAATACTTATCATTTTATCGTAATTTAAAAACTTGGAAATTGCACGGTACACTATAGGAACTACGATAAATTTTCCCTAATCGGCGCCATGTTTTTAGGCTCCTCCCATTTGACGGATCCCAATACTTATTGAACGTATTTTGGTCTTGTTTGGGAATTGATTTAAAATAACTTTTGGAAGTTGTGAGATTCCCACCTGGACCAGAAGCCCGCGGTGAGCCACCCACCGTCCTCCACATATTTCCCCCATTACCTTTAATTTTCCGACGAAAGGAAAACGTTCGAAGAACAAATATTTGTCTTCAGATTTGCTGTATATTCTTGTGGCAGTAATCGTTTCTGGTCCCATGCCGTCTCCAATAAATATGATAAGATTCTGAGCCTCATCGACATTGTACAACATTGTGTCTGCGGCAGTCCTGTCGAAATTGTTGATGTCCAACCAAAGAACGCGATCGTTATCTAGACATTGTTATAAACTGTATATTATCAGATACCATATGAAAACTTATCATTTTTAACAATTGTTATTACTATTAAGGGTTCATCATCATGAATCGTCAATCTTAAGACTAGTTGGACACGCACCTCCACTTTTTCCTGTCCTGAGCATTTCGCATTTCCCTAAAACTAGAACATCCCACATCCCTAACTATTTGCGGAAAATAACCTAATCTAGGTCTACCTCTACCCCTCCTAACTCCCGTTTCTGTTTCTGACTAGACCTTCATGCCTGAGAAGGTATCCTACCAACCTATCTCGCCTATTTCTTATTGACTTCCATAGAGTCCTCTGTTCTCCAAGTCTTTCTAATACCTCTTCATTTCTAACCTTCTCTATCCACGGTATCCTTATAATTCGCCTGTAACACCACATTTCAAACGCTTCTAACCTTTTCTTTTCCGCCGCGCACACTGTCTATGTTTTGTACCCGTACAGCGCCGTGCTCCAAACATACACCTTTAACAACCTTTTTCTTTATCTCTAAGTGCTGCTAATGCTAATGCTAATGCTGCTATATCATTTGCAAATCTAAGCATACTAATCTTTTGCCCCTGTATATGTACCCTTACAGTTGTACTGTCTTTAATGATGTTGATCTCGTCTTCGATGTATAGATTAAAAAGTAGCGGTGACAGTGTGCATCCCTGTCTGACTCCCTTCCTAATATTTACTTCTCCACGTTGCAGACCCATCTCTATAACAGCCTGTTGCTCTTTATACAAATGACGTATCACTCTTCTATCTTTGTAACTCATCCGTACATTTTTAAGTATATTTAACATCTTGTCCCATTGAACATTGTCATTGTACGCACTCTTTACTTTTTCTATCATTTTCTCTATTGTTACCCGTAAAGCTAGAATGGCCTCCCTCGTTTCTCTATTTCTTCTAAACTCAAATTGATCTTCCCCTAATAGTTCTTCCGCCCTTTTTCCCACTCTCCGCTGTACAGTTCAAGGGTGTAATATAAATAGCAACTCAGATATAAAAGGTCCTCTTGTAATAAACTAATCAAATTTCTACCAATAGGTGATACTTTGCATGCTAACAACTGCTTATTCTTCAGGGCTCATAATTCCTAAAAGGCATTAATAAATGTCTTGATAATACAGCTTATTAATTTTGCATCTCGTTTGTAATCAAAAAAAGAATTTCTAGTCGGTGCCCATTTAAGAAGCACCCTACCATTATCTGATGGTGAACAAAGGATATTAAAAGTTGGCGAAACTCAAACTTTCTTTATCCCGAGGAGGCGAAACACCCTCTAATTTTCTGCAGTGGTGCTCATTCGAATATTGCCAGAGGAATGACTACAGACCCTTATAAAAATGCAAAACGGAAGAGTTGGTTCAGTTGTACAACTTATGATGAAGTTTCATTAACCTTGTAATGCGAAAAATTACGGAGATGTCTCCACCGAGTTCGCTCATGTTCATTTGAATGAAGTGCCATTACAACTTTGCGCGATAAATTTGCGACATTTTTTTTCAAAACTGTCTAGTTAAAATTATCCTTTTTCAAACAGAACGAGACACAAAGTCGTTTTCTTTACNTAAAGTTCCAGATGGTACCCGGATAAACAGTATAACATCATTTTAGAAGTAAAAATATAGGAATTAGAGAAAGGACGGAATTGTGTAAGCGTAGATATAACCTTTATGTAAGAGGAAGTTATACTTACCTACTTACTAAATAATTGAATTCTTATGAAATACATTCATGTCTACACACAACAAGAAAGTACAATAGCTACAATAAATTAAATTTTAGTCGTATGTACAATGAATATAATACATACATATGTATACAAAATCTATTTTTCAAAATATGTACTATACTGTTTCAACTTCAAAGGACAATCGTTTTTCGTAGGCAGGATAGTACAATAAAGTGTTTTTATATATATTATACTTGATAGATCCATTTTCTTGAAAGTTTGTTATTTAAACAAATTATTGTTATTGTCGAAAGTTCGTATAAATGTTCAGATAGGAACGCTACCACAACTTTACTGTAGGTAACAAAACCCACGATCAATCATTATGTAAAAAAGTAACTTTTCATGCAGAAAGGGCTTTGATAAGTATTATTGATCGCGTGCCAAAAGGCTGTGAATCAGGGCAAGTGAAAAATCGTAAATGATGAATTAAAATAATAATAGTACAGTAGAAATCTTGACGACCCGAAAACCGCTACTTTGGGTGCTATTATAGTAGACACAGTGAAAGGCAAAAATTAGTCACGTCCTGGGAAACTCGCAATCGCTCAGTATCGAAAAATGACACCATTTTAAAAAAGAAATCGGTTGTCTGTAAAATCGGTTTACTGACGATAGTTAAACGTGACAACGTCATAAGAAAATACTGATGGAATGTTTTCAAAAGAAAATTTTAATTTTATTTGTTTGATAGATATTTTGTATGGATATAGAGAAGGAGGTAATTGGAAATGTATTATTGTATAGCAGCTGTCCACGCGGACGCATCGCTCACTCAAGTAGGAGAGAGACAGATGTCGAACGCTGCCGAACGCGGAGGCCGATTGTGCCTCTTTG